TTACAACTAAAACTAGTTTGAATATAAGAATAAGAGTTTTTTTTCAACTTGTAGGCATCAACTCAAAAGTGTTAATATTCATTCGAAGGATCAACAAATTAAGTTGCATATGAAAATAATGTTTTTGCATTCACTTCAGCAAAAGACTGCTAGATAATTGAAGATACTATTTGCTAGAAATTGTTTGACAAGATAATTGATGCATTGTACATACCAGATGAACTGATATTTTACAATGATTTTTTAAAAGTTTGATCATTTGAGTGTTCATTAAATTACCTGGTAGCACTCCATAGTACGTACATTCAGTAATGTACATATAAACACCAAAACTTCTCCTCTGCTTTTTTAAGGGCTTGGAACCTTCTGCTTGAAATAACATGTTAATTCAAGCAGGCAGCATTAAAAGTTTTGTGCCTTTTTTTTCCCATTTTTTTTTCTTTCTCTCTCACTTTTTTCTTTTTTTTTTTTTTTTTGTTTTTTTTTTTCTTTTTTTTTTTTTTTTTTTTTTTTTTTTTTTTTTTTTTTTTTTTTTTTTTTTTTTTTTTTTTGTTTTAATTTTCTTTCTTTTTTTCTTTTTCCTTGTTTTTTTTTTTTTGGCACAAAACTTGCCAATGAGATAAAAATAAATTCAAATTTCAACACAACAATATACATTTTCACATCAACAATTTACAATTGCATTAAACAATCACAATTTAACATTTTAAATCATTGATATAACATTAACAAATCACAAATTAACATTTACAAATTACCGGCAATTTAACATTTGTCATTGACGCAAATCACTATTTTACTTTTCAAATGCAATATACAATTTTATATTCATTTCTTTCACAGCATATTTAATCACATCAGTATATATAGGGCATTCAATTTCACTATAAGCTAATAACGAAAAGGTGACTACTTAGTATATACAAATTATTCTTTCTACAACAGCTGACAGAATTTACACATTCTATGAATACTTATGTCCTATTATACAATCATTACATCAGCTGAAACATATTTAACTTCATCAAAACAATTACAATAACAAACTATTATCTCATTGGCATAATAATAAAAAGATAATAAAAGACAAAGTAGCCTCCAACTAGTCCCTTTCAGCTTCTCCTCCCCGAGCCAGCCTGGCAGCCGTGGCGGTGAAGGAACTTAAGTTCCAACCAGTAATGCCCCAGGGTATCGTAAAAACCTACTTACAACTAGCCTTCAACTACTTCATCTTAACAATATGAATATATAGCTAATGAAGAAAAAAAGAAAAGCAGGGGGTCAGTGTGGGAGGAAGACGGAGTACCCGTAGAGAACCCACGTGTCCGAATGGGCGACCCCATACCCTGACATAATTCGGACACCCTTTACATAAATATATATTTTTTAAAAAGTCTTTGAAAAAAACATTGTTACTAAAATGGATTTAAATCAGTGCTTTAAAGGTGTGGATTAATCATTAATTAATTCCTGCTTCTTCATCCACACACATGATCTCAAGGATGTTCCTTCTAAAAGTTCCTTTGATTCTCTGTAAATGAACAAGGCAAGAGGTTATTGTCAGGTTTAAATAAAATAAATTAAGAAGAGACCTATATGCTACATTGCTCACCTGAGCTCTAAGGCTAGGAAAAAGCAGAAATCAATACAGTATTGTAGATCACCATATTTTCACAACACCTTAGTTTAGTGACTTAGCTATTTGGCATTAAAAATTTGCATTTCAAAAAAAAAATAAAATCGGAATTTTTCAATCTGCTCGTGTCAAACCTGTGTTTTATAAAAGCAAATCAGTCAAAAACGAAAAAAAAAACACAAGTGCAGAATGGTAAAAAAAGGTGAGTTGTCAACTTTGATTTTATCGAGAGTCTACCAATTCTGAACCCTCCCTATCGCATGTCTCTCTCTATTTTTTTAGTTGTATCTATACTTCGATTTGTAAAATACCGACAAGTCAAAACAAAAATGGCTGTCATGCAGTGTTTACCGGTAGCTAATCTGTTAATTGCCACTGATAATAGGTAATAATCAAGGTGTCAACCGTGCTACCAGATGCATTTGCAGTTGTAATTGCTCATTATCCTCATTAAAAGTGTTTTTATCAAAGACATAGATACCAGATGTGGAAATTTTGCAAAAAGGACGGTAAATAACGATATGGATTACTTGATCTTTGCTGCAAACAAGTATACAGGTATATAAGCACCTAAAACAAAACAATTCCTCCATAAATATACCAGGAAAGACATTAACTACAGTACTCTATTATTAATTTAACCAAGTACATGGTAGCTATAAAGAGTCTGTAGAGGGAACACCGCGGATACAATGACTTTGCAAATCCTACATCAACATCAGCATATAAAAGCCCTTGAAACTGCAGAGCAACTTGACCCTCTAATTCATTGAATTTATGTAGCCAAATAAACAATTTTAATATAATATTAGCAGATTGGAACCGGACTACAATTAATAATGCTTTGATATCATAGGTACTAAGAGTAAAAAAAAGAATTCAGGATCTAAGAATCTATCTTATTCATTCTCAATAGATTACGCATGTTATTTTTTGAAAATGTATAAAGTTTTAAGTTTGGCTAACAGGTACTTCCAATTCCTTCAATTTCAGATCTTTATTAAATCCAGGAAACAGTTCTCTTGCTCCTTATAATTGATTTTTAAAAGCTGGAAACTTCTGCAGAATATTATTAATTCTTTTAATTGCCAAGTTAAACTTTAATATTTACCCTGAATATTATTCAAATGACACTCAAATGAACGTGCAAACACTATACAGTGAAGAACATAATTTTTTTTTTAATAATTTCAAATATTACACGGTACTCATAAACAATGTTTGAATAAAAAGTTGTAATCTTTATAAATAACTACATTTATACATGTAATGTGTATTAATATTAAAAAAAATTATCTTGTAAGTTGTTTATTTTGTTTTGTTTTATACTACTTCAGTGAAATGTGTGACTTTTTATATGTGAAAAAGTTCGTTGCTAGCTTCTTACCCCCCCCCCCCCCCCCCCCTTAAAAAGAAAATCAGAAAAGTTGACAGGTATGATTTTTGTCTTTTTTTTTTTTTTTATTTCGTCCTCCGACTTGACCTTTCTTGAAAAAAAATCCGTAAAACTAAAATGGTCGCCTTAGTGACTTAAGCTATTTGGCATTAAGTCAAACAACATTTTTTATAGCTGTTGTTTCTGTTGTATATAATAACAAAATCAGACAGCCCCTAGCGTTTTTTTTCCTTATCTGGTACCGATAAAATAAGTTGCCAAAAAACGTTAATAATTCCCTTCTGTGACTAAAAATTCCCAATTCAATTGTGATGCAACAGACTTCGACAACATCGTATTTCTTGTTAAATGAAACATTGTACAAGTTGACTAATTGATCACTTCCGCTTAAATCGAAAGTAGAGAAAGTCGTAAGTTGGCGGGACATGTGGGTTAAACAGCGTAGTGTCATACATTTTGACAAACTGAAAGCATAAAAATGTCAAAGCATGGGACGTTGATATAAAAAACAATAAGTACTTGTTGTTTATTCTTTGAAACAAGGAGTAATAGGTAATTAATTTAGAACAAAGGCGAAATACACTGCATTTGCATAAATGAGAGAAAATTTGCCTGTTTTTCTTCGATGTTATTTTTCCCAATTCAACTGGTATCGGACCCATTCCCAATTGGTGGAAAAAAATCGCTGTTTTCACTCAAATAGCAATGCAACATTTTTCAGGGAAGGGCTACAAATGTAGACCTATACTTGGTATTAAGGCTAAAAGAGCAATGAGGGACTTTTTTTTGCACCTACTGCAACATGTCACCACAGTTTATATGATCTCAGTAAAAGACTGGTCTTCTTGTCCCACAGTGGGATTCGAACCCACAACATTAGGATCAACTTCTTTATACTATGCTACTCTGTAGCAGATTTTCTTAAATACCACTGTACCATGCAACAGCAACACAAAATGTGAAAGAAGATAGGAGAACAAGGTGGGCAGAATGCCCCTAGCATCCGATATTAAAAAATTGTATTCAATATGTGAATTGAGTACATGTATTTACCTTGACCTTGCTTAATATGAAAAATAAGATGATTTGGAATATGATAATGTCATATACCTGATCAGTATCAGCTATTCACTGTGGTATGTCTTGGTGAAAAAGTCAACATCCATCAGGCATAAATTGTCCTCCAGGTGTTTCCACCAAGTCTTGTTGGGAACATCTACATTTTGAGGATCATTGTCCATCAAGCTTGTCTGTGTTTATTGTTTCCACCAATTCCTTTTGGGTGTAGCTGATGTTTTCACATATTGGATAATCATTGTCCATCAAGTTTGCCTCAAGATTCATAATGGCTTGCCTCCTCAAAATTTATTTCACCAAGTCTTTTTAGAAGTATTTGCTGTTTTCCCATCTTTCCACCAATTCCTTTTGGGTGTAGCTGGTGTTTTCACATATTGGATTATCATTGTCCATCAAGTTTGCCTCAAGATTCATAATGGCCTTGGCTCCTCAAGATTTATTTCACCAAGTCTTTTTAGAAGTATTTGCTGTTTTCCAATCTTTCCACCAATTCCTTTTGGGTGTAGCTGGTGTTTTCACATATTGGATTATCATTGTCCATCAAGTTTGCCGCAATATTAATAATGGCCTTGGCTCCTCAAGATTTATTTCACCAAGTCTTTTTAGAAGTATTTGCTGTTTTCCCATCTTTCCACCAATTCCTTTTGGGTGTAGCTGGTGTTTTCACATATTGGATTATCATTGTCCATCAAGTTTGCCGCAATATTAATAATGGCCTTGGCTCCTCAAGATTTATTTCACCAAGTCTTTTTAGAAGTATTTGCTGTTTTCCCATCTTTCCACCAATTCCTTTTGGGTGTAGCCGGTGTTTTCACATATTTGATTATCATTGTTTATCAAGTTTGCCTCAATATTAATAATGGCCTCAAGATCCTCAATAAATCCTCAAGATTTATTTCACTAAGTCTTTTTAGAAGAATTTGCTGTTTTCTCATCTTTCCACCAATTCCTTTTGGGTGTAGCTGGTGTTTTCGCATATTGGAAAATCATTGTTTTCCCATCTTAAAAGAGGTTCATCAAGCTTGTCTATTCCAGTTGTTTCCACAAGGTTCTGTTGGCTGCAGCTGCAGTAAAAGTCAGAAGAAAATAATTGGAGAAAATACATCACTGAAGTTTTTAAGGAAAATCCTCAATTAACTTTTAAAATAATTGTTATGTTGTCTCAATAGTGGTTAAACATATATGTTTTATATTATTAAGCAAAAATTCAATATTGGTGTAAAGAGATGGTTTATCTAGCTGAACACCATAACAAAATTCAACTATTGCTGACTTTAAGAAATAAGACCACCTAAAATTTTAGCCAGCTAGTTAATTTGACTTTGTTAATAAAATGATCCTAGATTATGATAATGTCACATACCTGATAAATGTCAGATCAGCATCCTTTGGCTATTCCTCCTCCAGTTGTTTCTATCAGGTCCTTTTGGGTTCATCTACTGTTTTCACCATGAACTGTTGGGCGCATTTGCTGTTTCCACATCTTGGACGATCAGCAAGTACTAGCTATGCATCATCAAGTTGTTTCTATCCATGTCCAGTTGGATGCTTCTGCTGTAACACATGTCTTGTTGAGGAATCTGCTGTTTCCACATCTTGGAAGATTAGCATCCAATGGCCCTGTCTCCTCCAGCTGTTTCCACCATGTCATGCCCTTGTTTACGATCACAAGCTTTCTTGTCACTGACCAGTAGAGCTAAAAATAAGTAGGCTAAAAATAAAAAGTCAGCTAGTAAATTTGACATGGTTAATTAAATGATCTTTAATATATAAATATTGTATGTAGTTGAGTGTATATTATACTGAACGTTTTATACAAATACATATGTATTTGTGAACCATGTTCACAAATACCACAGTTCACAGTGAACCGTACATGCATAAATTCTGTGCAGTCGCTATTTTTGGGAATAGCACCCGTCGTCAAGCAATGTTGACTGTTGCTATGCTGGAGGGCATGTCTTCATTATTAAGTGGGTAATAGTGTTTTTTTAACAGATGTTTCTCCACCACTCAGATTCAACTAATTTACATGAAAGTATAATATTTTTGATTATCTCATACACATTTACCTGATCAGTGTCATTATCTCGTTTGATATGTCTTGTTTGGAAGGTCAACATCATCAGGCAAGTCTCCTCCAGTTGTATCCATCATGTCCTGTTGGGTCCATCTTCTGTATCCACCAAGTCCAGTTGGGTGCATCTTCTGTTTCCACCAAGTCCAGTGGAGTGCATCTGCTGTTTCCACCAAGCCCAGTGGAGTGTATCTGCTGTTTCCACAAAGGCTAGTTGGGCGCATCTGCTGTTTCCACCAAGTCAAGTGGAGTGCATCTGCTTTTCCACCAACGTCAGTTGGGTGCATGTGCTAAAAATATCAACAGCTCTATTTCACTGCATGCATTTTACACTAAAATACCCTAGTCAGTCCCTTTCAACTTAAATTTCATTTCCTTAATTTCTTAGATTTACATTTTTATTCTGTTCCTAAATTTTTGGTCTTTGATTTGTTTAAAATGAATGCATAATAAAAGTGACCACTTATAATAAAGTTTTATAGGATATTTCATTGAAAAAAATAAAATGACCACCTAAGAAAGATCTCTGCTGTATAAAGATGACTACTATGAAGTTTGGCTGTATATTATTGATTTGAAATGGAACATTATAAATCTATAATCTAACAATAATACTTCATTTCAGTTTTCTATATACAGCAAAACTTGTTGAGTACGAACGAGGATATTGGCAATTTACGGTTATAGCAAAATTATCTTGGATCTCAGAGCTTAATAAATTTAATGAATTCCTTATACTGATATAACGAATTATAGATATAGTGAAGTAATTTTATAGGTCCCTGTGACTTCGTTTTAACCAAATTTTACTGTATTTTTCAACTATTAGCAATTCAATATTTTCTATCTTACCTTATAGATGATGGTTTAGAATTTGGCTTATTTCTCTTCTTCTTTAGTGAATTGTCCAACTATAAAATACTAACAAAATTTTAAAATAGACCTGAAATAATAGATACTGAGTAAAACTTGTTTGGTACAAACACAGATATTATGAATTCATAGGTAATAGTGAAATTATATTCAGTCCCTAGCTATATAAATTTTACTAAAATCATTACACGGATATAACAAATTATGGATATAGCAAAGTTATGTCAAAGGTCCCAGTGACTTCGTTTTATTAACCGAGTTTTAATGTAATAAGGCCCTCAATAAGACAGGTGCTTTGGGTGAAACACACTGTTTCCTCCTTATCCAACATGTCTAATTTTGATGCTAATGCACAATGCAACAATGAACATTAGACATATTCTTAGGAATAATAAATGCAATAACAAATAAAAATCACAACAATAATAATTAACAAAAATTCATAACTATTATAACAAATAATTAAAAATCTCAACTAAAGCAAATAACTAAAATACATAACTATAACGAATAACTAAACTCATAACAACTAATTAAAGCTCATAAAAAGAACAACTAACTAACACTCATAACAAAAACAAATAATAAATCACAAACAACAGCACTTAAGCTCCTAACTAGTAAAACAACAATAATAATTAACAAAAATTCATAACTATTATAACAAATAATTAAAAATCTCAACTAAAGCAAATAACTAAAACTCATAATTATTACAAATAACTTGCACCAACTAAATAAAACTCATAACAATAACAACTAACTAACACTCATAACAATAACAAATAATTAAAAATCACAACAAAAGCAAATAACTTAAGCTCCTAACAAGTAAAACTCAAGAATGCCTCAATAACAAATAATTGAAACTCATAACAATGTCAAGTAAAAAAAAAACCATTAAAAACATAGTGTAACAATTAACAAATAAAACATGAAAATTAACAACTTTTACAACCCTCACAAACAAAAAACTATTAAAACAACTCAATAAACAAACAACAATTATAATAAAACCTTACGAACAAATAACAAATAACAACAAATACTAACAAAGAAAACAAAATATAAACCAAAAAGTAAGAGCTAAAATAACAAAGAGACCTAACATCAAAGAAATAGAAAAAAAACCTCCACTCCAGCGTTGTTGGCATGCTGTTCCAATCCAACGTGCCCAGCCTCCTCCAACGATGTGCACCATCTCCAACGATGACATTCCGGCAAAGAGAGAACAGAGAAGATTAGACAAAGAAAAAACAACAAAACAAAAAACAAAAGGAAAGAACTGCTATAAAAAATGTGTTGAGAGGGGAAGGGGAGGGAAATGTTAGTACTAATTAGTAAGAGTGCAAAAATGATAATGAAACCAACTCACCTCTGCTTTTCCTTAACAACTAAGCAATACCTCCGTTCCAGCGTTGTTGGCATTCTGTTCCTATCGTAGATGAGCCCAGCCTCCTCCAACGATGTGCACCATCTCCAACGATGACATTCCGGCAAAGAGAGAACAGAGAAGATTAGACAAAGAAAAAACAACAGAACAAAAAACAAAAAGAAAGAACTACTACAAAAAATGTGTTGAGAGGGGAAGGGGAGGGAAATGTTAGTACTAATTAGTAAGAGTACAAAAATGATAATGAAACCAACTCACCTCTGCTTTTCCTTAACAACTAAGCAATACCTCCATTCCAGCGTTGTTGGCATGCTGTTCCAATCCAATGTGCCCAGCCTCCTCCAACGATGTGCACCATCTCCAACGATGACATTCCGGCAAAGAGAGAACAGAGAAGATTAGACAAAGAAAAAACAACAGAACAAAAAACAAAAAGAAAGAACTACTACAAAAAATGTGTTGAGAGGGGAAGGGGAGGGAAATGTTAGTACTAATTAGTAAGAGTACAAAAATGATAATGAAACCAACTCACCTCTGCTTTTCCTTAACAACTAAGCAATACCTCCGTTCCAGCGTTGTTGGCATGCTGTTCCAATCCAATGTGCCCAGCCTCCTCCAACGATGTGCACCATCTCCAACGATGACATTCCGGCAAAGAGAGAACAGAGAAGATTAGACAAAGAAAAAACAACAGAACAAAAAACAAAAAGAAAGAACTACTACAAAAAATGTGTTGAGAGGGGAAGGGGAGGGAAATGTTAGTACTAATTAGTAAGAGTACAAAAATGATAATGAAACCAACTCACCTCTGCTTTTCCTTAACAACTAAGCAATACCTCCATTCCAGCGTTGTTGGCATGCTGTTCCAATCCAATGTGCCCAGCCTCCTCCAACGATGTGCACCATCTCCAACGATGACATTCCGGCAAAGAGAGAACAGAGAAGATTAGACAAAGAAAAAACAACAGAACAAAAAACAAAAAGAAAGAACTACTACAAAAAATGTGTTGAGAGGGGAAGGGGAGGGAAATGTTAGTACTAATTAGTAAGAGTACAAAAATGATAATGAAACCAACTCACCTCTGCTTTTCCTTAACAACTAAGCAATACCTCCATTCCAGCGTTGTTGGCATGCTGTTCCAATCCAATGTGCCCAGCCTCCTCCAACGATGTGCACCATCTCCAACGATGACATTCCGGCAAAGAGAGAACAGAGAAGATTAGACAAAGAAAAAACAACAGAACAAAAAACAAAAAGAAAGAACTACTACAAAAAATGTGTTGAGAGGGGAAGGGGAGGGAAATGTTAGTACTAATTAGTAAGAGTACAAAAATGATAATGAAACCAACTCACCTCTGCTTTTCCTTAACAACTAAGCAATACCTCCATTCCAGCGTTGTTGGCATGCTGTTCCAATCCAATGTGCCCAGCCTCCTCCAACGATGTGCACCATCTCCAACGATGACATTCCGGCAAAGAGAGAACAGAGAAGATTAGACAAAGAAAAAACAACAGAACAAAAAACAAAAAGAAAGAACTACTACAAAAAATGTGTTGAGAGGGGAAGGGGAGGGAAATGTTAGTACTAATTAGTAAGAGTACAAAAATGATAATGAAACCAACTCACCTCTGCTTTTCCTTAACAACTAAGCAATACCTCCATTCCAGCGTTGTTGGCATGCTGTTCCAATCCAATGTGCCCAGCCTCCTCCAACGATGTGCACCATCTCCAACGATGACATTCCGGCAAAGAGAGAACAGAGAAGATTAGACAAAGAAAAAACAACAGAACAAAAAACAAAAAGAAAGAACTACTACAAAAAATGTGTTGAGAGGGGAAGGGGAGGGAAATGTTAGTACTAATTAGTAAGAGTACAAAAATGATAATGAAACCAACTCACCTCTGCTTTTCCTTAACAACTAAGCAATACCTCCATTCCAGCGTTGTTGGCATGCTGTTCCAATCCAATGTGCCCAGCCTCCTCCAACGATGTGCACCATCTCCAACGATGACATTCCGGCAAAGAGAGAACAGAGAAGATTAGACAAAGAAAAAACAACAGAACAAAAAACAAAAAGAAAGAACTACTACAAAAAATGTGTTGAGAGGGGAAGGGGAGGGAAATGTTAGTACTAATTAGTAAGAGTACAAAAATGATAATGAAACCAACTCACCTCTGCTTTTCCTTAACAACTAAGCAATACCTCCATTCCAGCGTTGTTGGCATGCTGTTCCAATCCAATATGCCCAGCCTCCTCCAACGATGAAGAGCCCGCAGCCTTAATGTGCACCATTTCCAACGATGAAGTCCCGGCAAAGAGAGAACAGAGAAGATTAGACAAAGAACAAAAAACAAAAGGAAAGAACTACTACAAAAATATGTGCTGAGAGTGAGGAAGGGGAGGGAAATGTTAGTACTAATTAGTAAGAGTGCAAAAATGATAATGAAACCAACTCACCTCTTCTTTTCCTTAACGAATTAGCAATACCTCCACTCTAGTGTTGTTGGCATGCTGTTCCAATCCAATATGCCTAGCCTCCTCCAAGTCTTTTTAATACCATCTCCAACAATGAAGTCTTCACAAAGAAAGAACAAAGAAATCCACTCCAGTGTTGTTTGCATGCTGTTCCAAGTGCTGGGAAATTGAGAAGAAGGAATAAGGTGAAAAAAGGCAAACAAACAAATTAACAAAGGAAACACTTTGTAAGAGAATTGGGAAGGAGATGAAAACATACTAATAGGTAATCAGAGATCAAAGTTCACCTCAATGAAAGCTGTCTTTAAGTAAGGCAAAGTCCCGCAAGTTATATCCCGAAATGCAAAATTTATGCAATTTTGATATGATACGGCTTGCAGTTGCTTAGAAATAGACCTATCCAAAAACTTAAAACTAGGCACCCATCAAGATAAACTTGCACCCATTACTTAATTAATTTTGCCTGGTCCATTATCTGGAAAATGTTTGTGGGATCCAGCATCCGAAGCAATTTAAGTCTATCAACCTTAGTGCAGTAAAGTTTGAGTCCAGAGTTACAAATGGGACATGAACCAAAACATTAACGTGCTTCACTCATGCTGGAAAATGTAGGTCAGATCCAGCATCTAAAGTGTGCATGATGTATCATCCATGCAAGTTTGGTCATCATAGGGCTCATAGTTACTTAGAAATGAGATCTGTACCAAAACATTGACCTGTTCACTCATCTGAAAAAGTAGGTCAGATTCAGCTTCCGAAGCTAGTCCGGTAGGCAAAGCAGTTAAAAATTTCTCTGAACCAATAGCATTTAAGAAAATGTCGGTCCAGATGACCATTTGAAAAAAAAACAAATTTTTAAAAAAGGTTGGGATCGGGATGCACATCTATTTTGAAGCCCCATTTAAAGGTCATAAACACAAAAAAAAATGGCCGCTTACGCAATATGTTGACGATAGACAATCATATTTGTTATGGCAAAGTCAAAGTTCATGTCATTATGTCTAATGTTAAAGGTGCATGGACAGAGGTTTGAAGTTAATATTTTCTGTATAATATTACGACTTATATATTTTAATAGCATTTCACACAAAAATAAATTAAAAATCTTATTTCATTTAAAAGTTATTAAAACTTCCAATTCTTTGGTGGGTTTGATTGACACATCTTTGCACTTGCTTTCACAATTTTTTTTATTTTATTCTTAATACTT